TATATATATATATATATATAAATACGTTCATTCTAAGCAAACTTCTTATAATATGAATTAAAATATACATGTGTTATATGGGTGAAATAATAACACAATGTGACAGGTTAGAATTATAAATAAAACAAACAGTAATGCTATTTAGACACACAAGATTGATCATATTAGGTGACTATCTTCTCTAACGGTTGATGTGGTCATGCCACGTCAATTAATGAATATTTTCATGTTAATTCTATTTTTATTTACTTATCTTCCAATAATTCTTAAAAATCAAAAATAAAATTAACCCTACCTTTATGCGCGTGAAAAAAATTTCTATTGTAGATACTGTAAATCAATCTCTTTCATTTTGTGTCTTTTGATTTAACCTTTTAACTAATCAACTAATCCAATATACAGAGTGAGTTGAATCAAATTAAGTCCAATTTGGCAATCGGAAAGGAAAGGAAAAATATTTTCTTAAAATTTTGCATAATCTATAAAATATATTTATTCATTTATATACATCTGAAGTTTATTTCAATCATAGATAAGTTAAATCAAACTATCTTATTTTAAATTTTGTGTGCAGTTGGTTTAAATGGATTTAATTAAAACAGCTGCTGTTTCCGCGTTTTTTTACTTTTTACTTTTTTACGCGCAACAACTTAGCAACTGAGTCACCGAGTTATCACACCGACCTTTCATTTTACATTTTGAAAACCAAAATAGCGCCACAAAAATACATTCCCTCTTCTTTTCGTCTGTCTAACTCTCTCTCTCTCTCTGTCTCTCTTTCTCTCTCTGTCTCTCTGTTTCTCTGCAACAAGTAAGCAAAAGCGATCGAGCGAGAGTTTTGAGTTCAACGATTGAGCGAGTGATTTTCTGGGTTCTCTCTGTGTAACGACTGTGTGAAATTTTGGGTTCTGAAATCAAGAATGGCGTCGTCTGCTATAAAGCGCAGACAATTGGAGGATGGTTTTGGTTCCTTTGAGTTTCAGTTTCAAATCCAGAAGAGGATAAGGTCTTCTAGGGTTTCTGAGACCCAACGGAATGTAGCCGTTGAGGAAAAGTCGACTGTTGGTCTTCCTCTGCACAAGGGTTTGGCTTCGTCTGTTATAAAAAATGCCGACCCAAAATCAGAAGAGCTGGGTTTCGATGAAATCTGTCAGACCCAGAAGAGTAAGAGGTCTTCTAGAGTTTCTGAGACCCAACGGAATGTAGCCGTTGAAGAAAAGTCGATTGTTGGTCTTCCTCTGTGCAAGGGTTTGGCTTCGTCTGCTACCAAAAATGCCAACCCGGAATCAGAAGAGGGTTTTGAAGAAATCTGTCAAACCCAGAAGAGGAAGAGGTCTTCTAGGGTTTCTGAGACCCAACGGAAGGAAAAGCGGACGATTGGTCTTCCTCTGCGCAAAGTCGATGGTTTGGCTTCGTCTGCTTCAAAAGAGACGTTGAATTGTTCTAAAGTCTTGGATTCTCTGATGAACCTCAGCCATGCGAGCTACTTCAACAAGCCTGTTGTTGATCCTGTGGCTGAGAATTTGCCGGGTTATTTCGACAAAATCTGGAGGCCGATGGATTTGGGTACTGTGAAATCGAAATTGGAGAGGGGTGTCTACTCCAGCGCTGATGGATTTGCTGCTGATGTCAGGCTTATCTTCTCAAACGCTTTCAGATATTTCACCCTTGGTAGTAGAAATTGTGCAGCAGCCAAGCATCTCAGTGGGGTTTTTGAGACCCAATGGAAAGAAGCCGAGGAGAAAATGTCAAAGACCGCTTGTCCTCCTCCTACTCCTCCTCTGCCCAAACGGAGACCAAATGGCAAGAGCTCTTCTGCTTGTAGGGTTCTTATGCAAAGTCAAGGGGTTGTTGGGGTTTCTGATTCTCAAAGTTGATGACTTGGGCACTCTTGTTCATCATGCCATGTATCAGGCCACAGACAATCTTTCTCCATGTAAGGCAAGGCGAATTCAGTCTCTCAAGATGCGATTTTCAGGTACAATACGGAAAGCAAACAAGATACTTAAGGGTCTACCTGATTCTCCACCAAGGAGAAAATTGATGCATCGAATCGATCAAAGGGAATTGGCTCGCTGTGCCATTTTGAACATGGAGAAGTCAGTCCAATTTGAGGACCCTTTAAAGGATCTCAAACAACTTGAGATTCTGTGTGGCTGTGGCAGTGAAAGGGTCTACCTTGGATTGCCTCTTAAGCATTTGGGTTTGTACCTCAAAGAAGATGACGAGTTACAGGGTCAGGGCGAGGAGGCTTTTCTGAACGGAGATCGGGAGGAAGGTGAGATATGCTGGCAGGAAGGCGATTGGGAGGAAGGTGAGATCTGCTCATGAAGTACAGGTTAGAGTTTACAAGGAAAATGAGGCATAGGTTACAAGCCACCTTCCCTCTGTTATTTGTTGTATATGGTAGTTGAATATACTTTAGTAATTCTGATTTTTTATTGTTGAGATGCCAGTTTTGGAATATAACCCACTGCTCGACAAGATAGATGACTTAGAATCTTGCTATTAGGGAATCTCTATAAGTTTTGCTTTCTAATTTGTTATAGAAGAGGTTTCCAATGTGGATATAGTTGTATCTGCCTGATGCAATCCTACACATCCAGATATCTTGGAAAAATTAGCAAAATATGCACTGTTATGATGCATATAAGATAAAATGTGTGTATCTCCAGGATATAATTTGTTATAGATGAGGTTTCCAATGTTGATATCGTTTCTCTAAAATGTTTTACTTCTTGGAACTTTTTCCAGGATACAACAGAAGATAAAGTGTGTATGTTCTGTTATGTGTGTTTGTGTATACTATCCATGTTCATTGGCCATATACATTATACATATCATATCATACATTGTACGTGTCTGATGAAGTGGACTACTATGCTCTCTCTTTCTCTACTCTTTGTATTGTTTATTTCGGTTTTTTTTTTTGGGCCAGTTTTTTTGTGATTGCTATTTGATGGCTAATGCAACTGAGAGCGAACGGTTTGGGCACGAGGGACAAAAGTATGTAAGTTTGCAATAAAACTGAAATCAAATTACACGGAAGCTTATCAAGAACTTGGAGACAATCTCCCATCTTCGCAGGTGCATCAGCAGCAGCTTTCTTTCCCTATGAACATAAACCGTAGAGCAATTCCAAACTCCTGCTAATCAGGTTTCTGCATCTTTAAGTTTGTTTTGATTTATTAAAGGAATGAAATGATGAATAAGTGTTTCGCATCTTTACAAATAAAATGATTTCTTGTATAAGCTGTTCAGTTGCAAAGGTTGTCGCTATGGAGTGTGTGCCCCACTAGTCTAATCCCAGCATTGGCATTTGCTTCAGTAACCCTGATAATCAGGTACCCCATCTCCGTTTCACCTCTAAATTTATGCTTTAAAGATGAATGACATTTCATGCAACAATTTACAGAGCTGCTACTGTTTAGGAAATCTATGCTACCAATTTGTGTTTGTTGGTTTCATCTTGTCAGGTGTTTATGCCTTGTTTAGGAAATCTATGTAAATAAAATTTGTGTTTGTTAATACAGACGTTGTGCCTTGTAGAGTTTTCAGTTTGCTGTTCTCAGCACTTATCCAAATTTCATATTGCGTTTGAGCTAGTATAGAAGCTTGGGATTGCTCCTTATAATGGTTTTTTCTTTCAATTTCTTTTGGCTTGGTGGCCGGTACAGTTTGCAGTTTGCATTGCTGTTGGAGTTGTGTTGCCTTCTTCATCCCTTCAATAATGGTTTATCATGGCTATTTCAGGTGAAAATGTTAAAGATTGTGTATTAGTATTTGTTTTTGTTAAATTGAAAAGGAAAATGGAGTGTCAAAATTCCCTTACTGATGGAATGGTAATGATGCAAGACAGAATCATTGTATTTTTGTTGCCTTCATAGTCGTTGCTTCCTGTCCTAGTTTTTCTTTTCAATTTTTGGTTTAATAAAGAATGGTAATGAGGCAAGACAGTATATTTAGCATCTTGAGCAACAAATTATTCCTTGTTAAAGAATGCGTCTGCATCATTTTGTTGGTTTTGATTTAATAACGATTTCTTGTCAAAGATGTTCATTTGCAAAGGTTATTGGCTGGTCAGTCCTAGCCCCCCATGTAGTGTGTGTCCCCCCTGTCTAATCCCAGCATTGGCATTTGCATTAGTAACTTTGATAATCAGGTACTCCATCTTCATCTCTCCTCTAAACATACGAAATAATCCAATTCGTGTTTTCTTTGTTTTGTCTTTTGTGGCTTAGATTTATCTCTCCCTTTTTATTTTTATTTTCTGGGGTGTCATTTATGTTGTTGTCACTATGGTTATGTTTCAAAGA